CCGCCGCCATAGAGTGTTGCCCCGACTGCACCCAAGCCTGGAGCAAACGAACCTTCCTCTAGGTCGGAACGGGGGAGGGTGAGAGTCCTGCGGGGGAGGGGACACCCCCTCACCTCAAGAGCCCGGGACCTAGCAAGGGGGAACCCCACCCCTGGGGTCCCCCCTGCACTGAACTGTGGGGACAGCCCCCCACCCAGGAGGTGGGTAAGACCTGGCACCGGATCCCAATGCCCCAGTTCTCCCAGGTGCCATCCAGGAGCAGGGTAAGACCCGGTGCTGGATCATCCTGCCCCCCTGGAATGGGCTCTGGGTGGAGCAGGATCCCCCATGCCCTCTGGAATGGACTCACTGCTCAGGACCCGGATCCTGGCACCCCTGGAATGGATTCCGGGTGCCATTGCCCTGGAGGAAGGTAAGACCTGGATCCCTGTCTCTGGGTCCCCTCCCACTCTGGATCGCACTCTGGTTGCCGGAAGACCTGGAACAGGACTTTCCGGTCACAACCTGGAGCCAGATCCCGGTGCCCCTGGAATGGAGTTGCAGGTTCTACCCCGGGAGGAGGGTAAGATATGGAGCCAGATCCAGGTGCCCCTGGAATGGAGTAGCAGGTTCCACCCTGGGAGGAGGGTAAGATACAGAACCAGATCCCCGGTGCCCCAGAATGGAGTTGCAGGAGGAGGGTAAGACCCAGAGTGGATCTCTGAGGATTGGCCCCACTCACCTTCCTCTCCTTGAGCCTCTCCTGCACCTGGGCCACCTGGCGGGCCAAGGCCTGGCAGGCCTCCTCCTTCTCCTCTTCCAAGCGGCTCTCGCGCTCCAGCTGCTGGAACTCCAGGTCCTCGTAGCTCTTCAGTGCCCCCTCCAGCATCTCCGACGTCTGCAGGGAGGGAGATCCCGTCAGGACTCCTGGGTTCTTACCCAGCTCTGGAAGGGGAGGGGGGGTCTAGTGGGTTACAGCAGGGGAGGGGGCTGTTACGTCTGGGCTATATATAAAAATGGCCATACTGGGCCAGCCCAACGGTCCATCTAGCCCAGTATCCTGTCTTCCAACAGGGGCTGATGCTCGGTGCTTCAGAGGGCAGTTACTGAGTGATCCATCCCGTCATCCACTCCCAGCTCTGGGCAGTCAGAGGTTTAGGGACATCCAGAGCAGGGGGTCATGGCCCTGACCACTAGCCGTTGATGGACCTATCCTCCAGGTACTTACTTAATTCTTTTTTTAACCCAGTTATAGTTTTGGCTTTCACAACATCCCCCGGCAAGGAGTTCCACAGGTTGACTGTGTGTTGTGTGAAGAAATACTTCCTTTTGTTTGTTTTAAACCTGCTGCCTAGTAATTTCATTGGGTGATGCCTGGTTCTTGTGTTACGAGAAGGAGCAAATAACACTTCCTTATTCACTATCTCCCCTTAGTCGTCTCTTTTCTACGATGAACAGTCCCAGTCTTCTTAACCTCTCCTCATATCGCAGCCGTTTTATATCCCTAATCATTTTTGTTGCCTTTCTCTGCAAATTTTCCAATTCTAACAGATCTTTTTTTGAGATGGGGCAACCACATCTGCACACAGTGTTCAAGGTGTAGGTGTACCATGGATTTATATAGAGGCAATATGATATTTTCGGTCTTATTATCTATCCCTTTCTTAATGATTCCCAACATTCTGTTTGCTTTTTTGACTGACGCTGCACATGGAGTGGATGTTTTCAGAGAACTATCCACACTGACTCCAAGATCTTTCTTGAGTGGTAACAGCTAATTTAGATCTCATCATTGTATATGTAGAGTTGGGATTATGGTTTCCAATGTGCATTACTTTGCATTTATCAACATTGAATTTCATCTGCC